GACTGCTGCCTTGTAAGAACCTGGAAAATGTGGACATGCCCTGAGGAAGAACAATTCACTGAGGCTTTATTTACTATGAAGTGTCAACTGAAACTGGTAATGGCTAAGGGTAGAGCAGTGCACAAAGTCAGGCTAACTTCCTATCTGTAGTTTCATGCTCTAAAGGGAGAAAATTCTGAACCATCAGTGCAAAATGCTAAATTGTAAAAAAGTAGGATGATTGCCAAAATGGAAAGGTTTGTGAGGCTGAACAAGTCTGAACATATAATGCAATGCTGAAAGTCTACAGCATGCAAGAAAGTTTGGTCACATTGTTAGTCTGGGATTACATGCCTTGACTGCGATTTTGCATGGTGGAAAGGCAGTGCTGAAATGAACTTCTGCTTTCTGTGGAGGTTCTAGAAGGAGAGGGAAAAGGAGATTGATAAGACCAAATCAATCCTTACTTTTTAACGAGAGGATGACTTAAAGGTTTCACAGCTACTTCTGCAGCTTTCTCCTCCTCTCTGACCCTGCCATGGGACTCCAAAGGTAAGAGTGACTTAGGTGGAAAATGGAGCTTTCCAGATGTCCAAGCACCCTCACATACAAAATCTCATAGATTAAGTACTAGCAGATGAATCTGGTATAACTTTACAAGCTAAAATACGGTGGGTTTTTTCCCACTGACTTCCCTATCGTGGGAATAATTTGTTTTTTAATTAAACCTGTCTGAGGATGATTCTAGCCTGTGTTTTGCTAGGCTGAATTTTCAAGAATTTGTAAGTATTGGCCAAAAAGTGGATAGTATTCTCCATTTGAAATTCATGGCATAAGATGTTCAGAATGTCTGTTAGCAAGCAGTTGAAATGAAGCAATAGGGCTGGGCTGCAAGAAATTCTGCATTCTGAAAAACAGCACCATACTGGGAAACTACCAGTGTTTCATTCAAAATTTTATCTATAGCCTATCTATAGATTTTCTGGGCTTGTTATTTTGGTTTTGGTTCTGTATAGTTTGCTATGTCTTGTCCAACTAGTAATGTAGTCATGCCATAGCTTGAAAAAGTTACAAAAATTGTTGTGACAAGCTGTAAGTTTTCTGTAAGAAATGGTCTCCAGCTTTACTTTTTCAAGATGAATGGGTTTGAGAAACTTAAATAGAGATATATATATGACTGCCTTTGCCAACTCATATTCATTCTTACTTCACACATCACCTTTTCATTTGTAAACAAGGCAAAAAACCTGCTTTTGGTCTGCTGGAGTTTCTTTGGTTTTGTATCATTCCTCCTCTGCAACTGCTCACTTCTAGTAGCCTGGAGAGCCTGAGATACCAGAAGATTTGTGGGAAAATATTCTAAGATCTTATTGTTGTCTAATAATGCCTGTCAGTTTAGAATATCTTTCAGTAATACGTATTTTATGTTTTGAGCTGAGCTTCTTTATCCTTTTTCATGTAAAGGTTGTTATCATTTTTATCTGCAAGTGCTCAGCTACTGCAGGCTTAATGCAAAGCTGATTGTAACCCTACTGCATCTTACGATGAATAGATCATTGATACCCAACTAAGTGGAAATAATTTTCTATGGCAAAGCAGAAGAATTTAAAGTCATATCACACTGACCTCTGGTAATTTGCTGGGATTTACAGATTAAAATGATTATTTGTGAAATAAGTATGGTAAAGCATACACAAGATAGAGAAGGAAAAATCAAATACATTTTATATGATTGTATGCACTGGTCTGTTTTTACATATGTGCATAAGAATTTTGTTTGTATATACATGGCATATGCAGTATAACATACTGTAACCTGCGTGTGTAAAAATACATATAATATTTATATGACAGTCATACCTGTTTGACAGCTTTGAGACTGCAGATCGATTTTCTTGAAGTTGTGATTTTTTTCAGATTTGAGTTAGCTTGTTACTTTCTCATAGGAAAAAAATATACTTTTAACTCATATGATAGTAATTAAGTTAGTCTGAAGCTCTGTCAGTTGAATCGACTAGAAAAGCATTGGTTATTTCTAAGATCACGTAATTTTTGTCAAGAATGTAATTTTTACTGTATTGTTAGGTAAACACAAGGTAAAGTTTTGTCTTTGAACAAATGGTAGACTTCCCTTACCTTTTTGTTGTAAACCTTCTAGCAAATAATGTGCAATTTATTAGGAAAGCAATGACAATATGTGTAATTAACTATTCTCTATTGTTACCTCTATTTGATTACTTTTGTACTATCACATGCAATATGAAACCATCTATTATGAGGTATAGAATATATATATATATATAACATTACAGGAGAAACTGGAGACTAGTCCTTTTTCTGAAGAGGCAGAAAATAAAAGAATAATTGTTAATCATGTCCTTTCATTTTCTATAAAACATCAATTACATTTACACATCCCAGAAACACTAGCCCACCAGTGGAACAGAAAAAACTCTTCAATATGCTTCAAAAAAATCTAACCACATCTAATAGCTGAAATTTATTTACAACTGTAATTTGAAACATTAATTATGATAATGTGCTGACTTCTTTTGTAGCACTGTTCTCAAAAGCCTGGCAGTTCTCTTTTTGGTCTTGTTGTAACATATATTTTGTGACTTGCAAAATTTCTCTATCTTTCTTTCTTGTTTTTGTTTTTTACATATACCCAGAAGGGAAATTTCTTTTTCTCCTCTGTTAACTATTTTTGTCACCTTCTCTGTTATTTTCCTCCTCCCCTCACTGGATGTTAATTTAAGAGATGGATTTTAGCGCTTATACTGACTCTTAAGGCAATTGACAACTGAATGTAATGTTTTGTATTTTGGACACAACAAACAGTAGCAGTGAGGATTTACTATACTGTGATACCAGTGTGCTCCAACAGCATCAGAGCAGGAAAAACACTGCTCATATCTTTGTCTTGTCCTGAGACTGAGGCTTTACAAGGTGTCTTCGTGATGTACATATGCATTTGGCTTTATTAACTTATTTTTGAAAGGGCTTCATTATTGCAGTGCTAGCTTATTTGTTTGCGTGTAAAGAGAATCTGTGTGAGGAAATACTATAATGGTTTGCTTTTCAGTTGTAAAAAATAAGTTGAGTTGTCAAGATACCTGGCTTTACTCTGAAAGCCTTTAAAGAAAATGAATAAAGGGCTCTATTTTTCTTGTTGTTTTGTTTTGTTTTTTAAGTTGTGACAGGGAGATTAGCCAAAAAAAATGGAATTTTTATTAGGACATGAAAAGGTCTCTAATGACCCTTGAAAGCAGACAAAAGGGTAGCACAATAAGTGACAGAACTCTAACGAGGGTGGAGGGCATTCCAGGAAAAAAAGAAATTAAATCCTTTAATTTTTTTTCGGCTTGCCATTTTCTGACAGCTTATCAAGTGGTTGGGACTTGTTTGTTTTGGCATGTGGTTCATTCATTGTAGGCAGCCGACACTTTGTTCTTCTTTGTGGTTTCCAAAACCTGATTGTGTTTATCCCAGACTGTGGGAAAAGTGTATATTCCTGTTTCCTTTATAAAAGTAAACGTCAGGTTTTGTATGAAATTTTATTTCCCATATTTTCCATTCCATTAATCATTATTGTTGAATCATTATGTCAGGCTTTGGCACATCACCCTTTGTTTTCATATGATTGTACAGATTGCAATGTCAGTGTGTGACCTATTAAGTCAAAAAATAAGCATGTTTGGGCTCTAGTAATTATTACTTCATAACGTGGAGCTGAGGAACATGCACCAGTAGTGAAAAGGGACCAGAATTTAATTTATTGCTATTAAAATTGTTTTGGGGGATATCTAGCTATTGTTGTATAGCTAGCGCTTTCTCATTGGGCTAGAGAAGACAACTTAGGGGAGCCATGATAATGGCTCTTCATATACCTGTAGGTAGCTGTAAAGAGGAAGGGAATAATCTGTGTTTCCCGTCTGCGATGAAAAAGAGGAGAATTAATGTGCGTAATAAAGTTGAACTCAGCGTTATTTTAGTCAACTATTAGGAAAAAACTTCCTAATGGTAAACATGAAGGAACACTGGGATAAATTGCTTAGGGAGATAGTGAAATCTCTGCAATTGAAAGATTTAAAAAATGGATTAGACACATATCATTTGGCAGTGCCACTGGTTGTTTTGCTTCTGCTAGGGGTTTCAGGCTAGACGATCACTTAAGATTATTTGCAGCCCTGTTCTTATGATTTGTTGTCTTTAAAATGCTGAAGATTTCTGTGCAGCTCTTTGTTTGCAATTATACTCTTCTCAGATCTATGCTTTGGTACTTGTATGTATGCCTGGCATTGTATAAGATTAGGGCTGTGTTCCATGAGTAAGGACTACACATGCTGTAGTTTAAACAGTGGGGAAAAAAATTGAAAAAATGCCCACTTTTTACATTGAAGGAGGAAACAATTCATGGAAAGAAAGAGTTCTTTATACATTTTGCATATTTAAATTATATTTAATGCTGTGTGAAATCAGTAACATATTTTTTCTTGCATTGTCTTGTGGCTTATTGACAATGTAATATTTGAAGACTGTTTAATAACTTCAATCAACTCCTGAACCACAGTAGGTGACCAGACATTTCATAAGGTCATTTTTTTTTCTGTTTTCAAAGTAGCATAACTGAAGGTTTGCATTTTCAAAAGAGATTAAAATGTCTCTCATTAGGAGAGAATGAAGATAATACTAAATGTGGGTATCATGAATACAGAATTACAGACGTTTGGAGATGTCTCATTATTCATGGCATTCGAGCCCAAGGTTTTACTGTGTTGTACTTGGACATATTTGCTTTCATTGTTATTCAAAAATAAATTTTATTGAGTTGACTGAACTAAAACCAAAATCTGAGATGAAGTATGATTTAGGTTTCTGGTACTTCTGTTGAAGGAAATTATTTTATCTGTTTTATAGATTTGTGTATTAAATTATTTTTTATTGTGGTGATGTCATAAGATGGAATGGTTACAAATTCTGGAGAGGCTTTAATCAGTTCTTACATCTGTGTTTTTCAGCGCATTTCTCGGAATGCCTCTGGAGAGACAAGCATTCAGTTTCTAGGCACAGTGGTAAGCATTTAATAACTATTGTCAACAGTTATATTGGTAGAAGAATATAATGTAAAAAGAAAATAGGTAAGTTACACTGGTAGCACATTTACACATGTATTTCTGATGGTTAGTATTATGTGCAATTATTCTGAGCTCAACAGGTGAATGTAGGCAAATATCTGAAGATAACTTCCAGGGCACAGTGCACAGTATCTGTGTTCCACATTTCCATTGATGCAAGTCTGTATCTGTTTCATTTGGAAGGGATTTAAAAATAATGGGTTGTAGACTTGTAAGCTTATTGCAATATACTGAGGTTTGATCTGCATCAGTGTAAATCCCATTCTTCCTCACCGCCTCAACTGTGTGATCTTTATTGCTTCACCATATCACATACTTTTATATCCCAGAGGTGGATCAGTAACTGTCTTATGAAAAGACTAATTAATAATGAAAAGCGTTCTATCCTTTTCTCACTCTAACCAGATTTGGTAGCTCTGCAGTTCTTCTAGATTTTGTTTACTGGATAGAAGTTTGCCTAAAATCCAGATCAGGTTTTATACCATTAGACAGAATTTGCTAATAAAACTATTATCTGGAGCAGTCATGTATAATATAGAAACTGAAGTTTTGTGTTAGGTTATGGATGCTTATAAACATACATGTGATTGAAGCAACTTCCAGTTCCATGCTTTGCATGATTAAAATGCAATCATTGAATTTTTCCAATTTCAGTGTGCACTAAAAATAGTTCTGAAAAGGAAATAAAACTGAAGTATCCTCTAAAGTAAGTTGTTCTGCCTGCTGCAGGATCTACCATCTTTGTGCACTATATGTTTTCGACAAAAGTAGATTAAGATTGTATATGATCATGCTTTCAATTCTACTTACTTGTTATTAGTTCTTCTACAAGTCCTACAAAGCCATTTTTTGTAAGGTGTAACATGAAAAGGGTAAACGTAACAAGAATACCTTGCATGTATGTTTTTACATACCTTGCATATTGGTCTTTAGAAATGAGAAATGCCCCAATATTTTTTTATTTCGATAATAGATCTCTATATATGCATATTCATTTTTTTTGTCTTAGTCTCAAGCAGAATGGCAGTTACATAAAGACATAAAACAAAAGTTTTGTTCTGCGCTTTTGTATTTATAATGATGCTTCAGCTCTGGAGTTGCAACCTGGATATATGAGATTGCTGCCAGGTGACTGATTGGATAGTCTTTGTGTGAGAATAAAATAATTACTCCAAGTAGATAAGATAGAAACATAAATGCAACTTGTTAATACTGAATAGATTTTAATTGGTTCCTCTGTAACTGGGTACTGTTGCAGGGAAAATTCTGATTGTGTATTTAGTGACATTAAAAATTAAATTTGTTGTTAAGTTAGCTATGCAGATATTTTGTATTCATTTATTAGAAGTGCCCCTAAGTCTTACTTACAGACTAGAACTTGTGTTCTGAGCCTTTTGTAGCAGGAAAAGCTTATAAAAGAGGAAATAGAATTGATGTGCTTTTAGCTTTAAAAAAAAAAGATGATGAAACAGCTAAGGGATTGTAATATATGTTAGATCTTACTGACTAGCTCATGTGTGTTTATTGAATCCTAATTATTTGGGGAAATCAAGTATGTGATTACAACTAAAATTCTCAGGAGGACTAAACAGAAAAGCCTTTAGTATTCTGTCTGCGATTTTTTTATTTAATATAAATTATGCCCATGTCTTGCTGATCAAACCTAGAGAGAGAGCTTCAGCAAGCAGGGCAGAGAAGCAGTAATGAAGTCTGCTTCCCAGGGTTTGCCCCAATACCAGTTTTCCCATAGAATCCAAAGCAGTGTCTGCACCTGTGCTTCTGTCAGTTCCTCTAGCCTAATGGCCTCCTTTCCCCTATTTGCTATTTAGTTTGTCCTTTACTTGTTTAACATCCTTCTAGTCTTCTGATTTAAACTTAATACACTCAGCTTAGGTAATGGGGAGAAGGATACAATGATATCTCCTACAAATTGCTGCACAGTCTCTATATGTGTACCTGTGTGTGTATGTGTACACATATACAAATGTAAATGTTCAGACAAAGAAAATACCATCTTAATGAAGGCCCTAGAAATACATTTTGAGTTCACCATTACATATCTTACTAAACCCTTGCTAAGTACAGTCAACATAGTAAGTGTTTGAAAGGAATATTTAACAGCAAAAGACTCTTGATTGCTCATTATTATGATGATGATGTAGTCTTATCAACATAATAAACAGCTTGCAAAATTACTTCTCTACTCTTTTTTCATGGTAGTAAACCTTAAGGATAGCTTTGAGCATTCTATGTTCCTTTTGATCAGGACAAATGTTGATGGCACTCCAGTGGTAGCAGGCAGCACGACATTACTGAGTGTGCAGACCGCTGACCTGTCCAGCAGAATATATTTTGAGAACCAGCTCATAAGGAGCACAGCTTGCTTGGCTTGCCAGGAAGGCATCAGCTTCAATAAGTGGCTTCATTTGATTTTTTGACATTATATGGTAAAAACAACTCTGCTACTGGATTTTGATAAAACAAAACCCTCTGCTTCAGGAAGGCAGTTGACACTCTGAGGGGAAGTGAAAGTTGTGCTTCTCTATTAGAAATATCCTTGCTGTCCCAGTTAGTTAGGTGGAGGACAGAGAAAACTGCATTGCAGATGAAAGACAACAGTGTAATGTGAGTTCTGCTGCATAACATATGATAAACATCTGGACAGTAGGACAAATGTTTCTGTTAGGGTAACAGCATATTTCTGTTATTCTAGAGGAGAACAGGAAAAATCATATTGCTTTCCCCAGCACTGAGTGCACACTGTTAGCATCATTTGGAGGTCTGTATGGATTTGTAATAATGTTTTTATTTGTTTCTCATCATGAGTAGAAATTAATTCCTACTTGAGCATTTCTCTCCAAATTGTAGTGGCATTAGATAGCTTATTTCCTCCAAATTGTTTTTTGACAGAGCTGTGAGTCTCAGATATGACAGGGACTCATGCTTTCGAAGGGCATATAAGGATGTTTCTGCCTGAGGAGCGAGCAACTTGTAGCTGTAAGAAGTAGTTGTTGAATGGGAAACTGCACTGGTTTGGCATAATTTTTTTGTGATAATAACATTGAGTCCCGATTAAATTATTTCAGACCAGATCCTGGCTTATTGATGTAACTGAGATTTTACATGAGTTTTTACTAATTTGTCCCCTCTGATGAATGTTACTAGATATGACGTGCTGAGGGAGTCCTGCTATTTTACCACTTCACACTAAAATTATTTAGATATTGTATTTATTAATAGCATTACCATAATACTGAGGAATCTAATTGCGTTATATATTGTACAAAGAAAAAGGAAACAAGACAGTACATGCTTTAGATTAATGTCCAAAACTGTGCTCAAAAGCAAGAAGACAGAAAACACGTCTTCTATGAGTTGTCTCATATGTGTAGGCAGCTCACAGAAGTAGGTTTGTCAAAAACATAGAATCACATAATTGTTTAGGTTGTAAAAAGTTCTCCAAGATCATTGATTCCAACCATTAACCCAACACTACCAAGTCCACTACTAAACAATGTCCCCAAGTGCCACATCTACATGTCCCTACCTGCAGGGATGGTGACTGCACCACTTCCCTGGGCAGCTGTTCAATGCTTGACAGCCCTTTCCGTGAAAAAATTTTTCATAATATCCAATTTAAACCTCCCCAGTGCAATTTGAGGCTGTTTCCTCTCATCGCTTGTTACCTGGGAGAAGAGACCGACACCCACCTGGCTACTCAGATAGCTGTAGAGAGCGAGAAGGTCCCCCTGAGCCTTCTTTTGTCCAGGCTAAACAACCCCAGCTTCCTCAACTGCTCCTCATGATTTGTTCTCTAGATGTATAGAACTGTATTAAATAAATACATAAAGCTATACTAAGTTCTCTGCACAGAGCTTCTGTGATTCAAAAAACTGTATGAGTACTTTCTTCAGAGGACCAAAGTTCACCCTTCATTCCTGTCTATCTAGTTAGCCTCCAGTTTCTGTTGTGTCTTCTGTCTTTTCATCCCGCCTTCTGTTCTCTTACATGAGATAAATGTTTTTTGCTGGCCCTAGTCATTTGCTGGTTATTCAAGGCTCACAGCTGGATTTCGGCAATGGAACACGTCTGGGCAGGCAACCTTTATCGCTAAGAAAGCTGTGAATATTATAGAGAACTGCAGATTATTGTGGAAGCATTTAATTTGTTCTAAACTGTGTGTAATGGCCTCTGCGTAGAATTTCAAATAAAGAAGTTGTGTATGTTCGGATAGTGAGCAACCTGGCTCCACCACATCTGTAATGCCATTGTCAGCTTTGGGCTGCAGGCTATGCTTGACAGCAATGCTTTCTTCAAAAGAGAACACTTTCTTCAAAAGAGACAGTCCCTATCCTCTGCTCATCATTTGTACTACTTCTTTGATCTTCTCTAATACCAGAGCAGCAATATAAACACTTTTTTTCCTCTGGGGAACAGTGAAAGAACATGTAGGTGACATGCTAGTCATGTTGCTCAGTATATCAGTTAATGTTCCTTCAGTGGGGAACACAATATACAAACCCACATGGTACTCTGACCTAAGAATCAGTTCCTCTTTAGGTGCTTTCTGAGTTTCCTAGCACAGTTTTCTTGGTTCATGTCTCACTGGAGGTTTTTTTGTTGCTTTAGTCTCATCCCTGATGGAGTACTTTTTGCCACCTTTGATCTACAAAACATTTGAAGTTTTACTCTGGTAGCTTATGATTACTGTTAGGGTGTTGATGCTACACTTGCTTTTCTTCAGCCTTTTTACAGACCCACTTAAAATAGTCCTGAGAACCCACCACTGTGACCAGATCTGCAAATTCCAGGTCAAGAACACTGGATTTAGGAAAACTAGTCTCTGCCAAGCCCCAGCCATGCTTTTTAGCATCGCTGGCATGCATTTTGGTACAGTAGTCATCACACTTAGTGACTTTTTGATTGTTTTTTGGCTG